CTCTCCCAGCCTCTCCATTTGTCTTCACCAGGAGTGGTGCTGCCCACGGAGGCCTGGGGGTAGTTTCAGGTGGCAGTTGCCATTGGTAAGCTGTGTGTGCCACAGAAAGACAAACGTTCCTGTGCCAGAAGCTCGGCTTTCCTTTTGGGCTTGCTAGCTGCTTGTCTGTAATGGCAACAGCTGCGGGGAGTTCGGTTGAGCACAGGAGATGCTGTCAGTAAGCCCTTCCTTAGGTTGTCTCTGAGGACTCTTACAAGGCAGCAGATGGTACAGATAGTGGCCAGAGAGCTGCCTAGGGTGTCGAAAGGATGGCGCTCATGGAGCCATTTAGAATCTAAATTTCAGACCACCTCTTGCTGGACCACAGCTAGGAAAGTGTAGGACTGTGTTCTGTAGGGCCTGCTCACCTGAGTATTAACTAGATACAGTTTTGGACCTTGGATCAGAGTATCATAGTGTTCAGATTATCAGCATTCAGTTGAGAGTCCAGCAGACCTGCATTGAGTCTTCTCCTTGGAAGTCACCTGCCTTGTGGCTTTAGAAAGTTCTTTATCCTTTCTGTACCTTAGTCTCCTTGTTTGTAAGATGGGGATAACCTATCTTGTGGGTGCACTATAAGGATTAAATGTGTCAATATAGGAAAAACACTTAATAGCACTGTCAAGTATATGGAACACAAGGTGAGCAGCTGTCTTTATTGATGTTATGATGAATATTTGCTCTTCACCCGAACTCCAGCCCTGCACTGCACGTCTTATTGCGAGGGTAATGTGCAGGCCTGCTTCCTAGGCACAGGGTGTGAGTTCATCAGCTGTTGCTGGGCAAGCATTCCTTAAAACTCCTGTGTACCAGAGTATGAGCAGGATTCAAGTTGGTCTAGTTTGGAAGGCGTTTTGCATAATATGCTCTGTTCGGGGCACGTGACAGACCTGTGAGTATGTTGGTTCCCAGTGAAACCATGCTGGTGGGGTGGAATCTCAGCTGGCCTTGCAGCCAGAAAGGTCACACACAGGAGAACACACGGCACTTCCACATGATCTTTCTAGGAGAGACCTGGCAGGGGCCACTCGTACAAAGTCATTTTGGAAAGCAGCTGTTGTGTGCTTTGTCCTTTCTTCCCCAAGCCACAGTCGAGTTCTGTGGGTGGCATGTGCCTGCCCACTCCTTTAGCTCTGGGTGCAGGGTGACACTGCAGTTCCCCGGGAGGTTTCTCATTGCATTCGGAGCACTTGCTGGTAAGCTATCCGCAGGGATTCAGGCAGCCTATGGCTCTCGCTTGTTTGGAAGGCTTAGAGGGTGGTTATCTTATCTGTGACCAGTCTCTGAAGGACACAGATATGGGGAGTAACATTTTAAGTTAGCTAACATGAAGAAAAGAATGAATTGGAAGAGCAGAAAATGTTCCTTGGACCTGCAATATTGTAACTCAAGAGAGCGCCTCCTGAGTGGGTGTGCCCAGAGAATGGGTCTTTGGAGACATTGACTGTCTGAGCAGCATCGGTCTCTGTGGCCCTTGGGCTAGCCTCCTGTTTTTGTAAATAAAGTTGTGTTGGGGTGAAGCCACACTTACTAGTTTATGTGTTCTTGTGACTTCTTTTGTGTTGCGGTAGCGGAGTTGAGTGGTTGTGACAGAGACCATGTGGCCCACAAGCCAAAGTATTTACCATCTGCTTTTGATAGGAGAATGTGCCCACGCCAGTCCAAAGCTTGGGAAGTGATTACAGGTGTGGATTTGAGAATCGGACAACTCTGGAGTCACATCCTAGCTCTGCCACCACTAGCTGTGTGGCCTCAGGCAGGGGCTTCACCTGTCAGTGCCTCAGTTTCTTCATTTATAAAATTAAATTCGCATTAGAACCTGCCTTACAGGTTGTTGGATTCAGTGAGGTAAAGCACAGAGTGCCTCTGATGTGGCATGAATTGAGAACCATGTAAGTGTCAGCTGCTATTGTTACAGTGATTCTGTGGGTCTGCAAGTCATACACCACGCAGTGCGGCCCTTGGGTAGGTGCCAGGCAGTGTGAACAAAGCCATGTTAACCTGCGCTTCTCACTCAGGGAGGACAGCCAGAGCTCTTCGGCTGTGAGGAGGACCCGCCCGTGAGGGGATGGGGAACCACACTGCAGCACGTGGGTGGCAGGCAGGAGTTCTTGGCCACGCCCATTCCTGGCCACGCCCATTCCTGGCCGCGCTGCATTTTACGCCCCATTTGGGAGGTTTCCCTGGAGTAGGAAGTGCTTTTCCCTTCACACCATGACTGCAGGTGTTGTCTTAAACTTGGAATTTAGATGAATCTTCCAACCGTATTTGTTCGTTCATTTAGTCATTCACTCATCAGACGTGTAAGGAAGAGGCCAGCTGAGATTCCATCTTGTCAGCACGGTTTCACAGGGAGCCAACACACTCACAGGCCTGTCGCTTGCCCTGAACAGAGCTCATTATGCAAAAAGGCTTCTGCACTAGACCGGCTTGAATCCTTTACACTGCAGGCTGTGTGTAAGAACTGTTGCATGTTCCTGTCTAACTGAAGGACGTAGTTTTGTGGATTTGTTCACTTGGTATCTTTTTGGCCATGTGACCCAAAGTAGTGGTCACTTTTGAGAGGGGCAGCAGACCAGTAGGATGCCACGTCCAGGAACTTTCATTACCTTTGTCTGACTTTGTTCTGGGGAAGAAGAGAGTGTGCGCGTTTCATAGTCTGTTAATGCCTGTTTCTTGGGGCAGATGGAGGAAGTCAGGAAACAGGTGGTCAGTTGTCTGCAAAGAGGGCCAAAAAAAGGTGGGATTTGGCTCTGATGGGTCCTGCCAAGTAGGACCAGGAAGAATAAGACAAGCTCCTGCAGAGCTCAGGAACTGCCCTGGAAGGAACAGCAGCTCCAGGAGAAACAGAACGTTAGTGGAGGCCAAGAAGGGAGGCCAGCGCCCTCCCTCATCTGTGCCAGGTCAGACCCAGTGGCTCTGCCCCTCTTAGGAACAAGCCCTGAGTCTAAAGGGAAGCTTTCGCTGAGCCTAGACACGTCAGGCACGTTTTCTAGGCTGGCGGCATCAATGCTGGGAGGACAGTGGTAGCAACCGCCTGTAGCCAGAGCATAGAGGACGAAAAAGAGGAGGGAAGACCCACATGGGGCAGAGCTGGGTTTGCGGCACACTCTGGCTTAGTAGTGGCTGTCCCTCAGTGTCAGCTCGTGCTGCGAGCCTGCTGGAATCTGCACTTCGGGTGTGACTTAAGTCGGGGACTGGGGCCTGCCGCCCTCGCCCCGCCCCACCCTCCCCTCACTCTGCCCTCCCCTCTGCCCTGCCCTCGCCCTGCCCCACCCTGCCCTCCCCCCTCCTCGCCCTCACTCCACCCCACCCTCACTCTGCCCCACCTCCCCCGCCCTGCCCTCACTCTGCCCTACCTTTACCCTGCCCTGCCCCGCCCCTCCCTCCCTCTGCCCCACCTTACCCTGCCCTGCCCTCACTCTGCCCGGCCCTCACCCTGCCCCACCCGACTCTGCCCAACCCTCACTCCACTCCACTCTACCCTCACTCTGCCCCGCCCTCCCCTGCCCTGCCCTCACCCTGCCCCGCCTCACCCTGCCGGCCCTCATTCTGCCCTGCCGGCTCTCACCCTGGCCCACCACAGCCTTGCCCGGCCTCCGCGCCCGCACCCCCTGCTCCTGCTCCTGCTGCTCCTGCTCCTGCTCCTGCGTTGGAGCTCTTCAGACAGGCAGTGTGCCGCTTCCACGTGTTGGTCTCTCCTTCCGGAAGCTCGTTCCCTGGCTAACTCCTCGTCTTTTTTCAGGAGTCTGCTTGGAACATCTGTTCCCTAGAGACTGTCTAGCCCTCCTGCTCGAGCCTCCCAGCACATTGAGTATTTTTCCTTTGTTGTTCTCCTCACACTATTTTCTTGGTGTCTGCTGCCCCCAAAAGCCCCTTGAGTCCAGAGACCATGTCTTTGTTGAGTGCTTGGCACATTATAATTGCTCACTGATTTGCTTCCTGACCGAGTGACCAGAAGGAGCAGTAATTTGTAGTTTGTTTTTTTCAAGCAAGCTTCAACTTTTTGAGTTGCTTTGGTCTTTTTTCTAATACATGGACAAGATATTTTATTATTTCACAGGCACACATCAGTATTACCGTCTTAGAGAAAATGCTATTCTCTGAGATAGCATTTTTCAGTGACTATGTGAGGGGGACCCAAAAATCCTGGAATTATTTTTGGAGGGTGGTTGCCTTGTAGTACAGACTTCCCCAACTAGGTAAGTGTTCTAAGAACCTGTTGGCATCAGTGTATCAGCTAGCATTGTTGTGAGAGGCTGTTGTGTTTGACTTAAGTTAATTTTTTTTGGAGATTCTTTCAACACATTTGCCCATTCATAATGCATGAGTTACGAGTGCACCTGCCCACACCACAATGAGTGTTCAGCAGTTTTTGATAAAAAAATGGCATGACCCTGTGTCCTATCCTCTCTATTCACTTGATCTTGCCCCAGGTGATTTTTTTGATTGTTTGTTTCCCTGGAGGAAAGAAGTCCTCAAAGGGAAACGTTTCTGCCAACGTGGAAGAGGTGAAACAAAAAACAGAAGTACTAAAAGGCATCCAAATGATGAGTTCAAAACTGTTTTGAACAGTTTTAAAAGCGTCCTGATAGGTGTATTGCACCAAACAAAGAGTATGTTGAAGATGACTGAAGTTTAAGCATGTATGAATAAATACACAATTTTTTTTTTTTTTTTGAGTTGGAGTCTCATTCTGTCACCCAGACTGGAGTACAGTGGCATGCTCCCGGCCACCGCAGCCTCAACTTACTGGGCTCCGGCGATCCTTCTGCCTCAGCCTTCCAAGTAGCTGGAACTACAGGCGAGCGCTACCAGCCCAGCTCATTTTTAGATTTATTGTAGAGATGAGGTCTTGCCAAGTTGCCCAGGCGGGTCACTAAACAATTTTTTATAAATGTTTTTGGATCCCCCTCATGCATGTACTAGACAGATCTTACTTTTTTCTCTTCCCTCCACAGAATGAGATGTGCCTGGCCACTCAACAGCTTTCAAAGCAACTGCTGGCATATGAAAAACAGGTAACTTGATATTTATGTGGCATATGATGCTGTGCTTAGGACTTTCTTAATGGAGTTCTTGTAAAGGAATTCTTCAAAACCATCCTTTAGACACTTGCATTTGTTTCTTTTTTTTTTTTTTTGTCTTGTCTCCTGATAAATTCTAACTGCTGATTGTCCCAAAGTCTTTATGAAGTGTTCTACTAGCCTACAGAAGTATTCAACTGCCGATGAGGTTTTATAGTCTCTGAGAAACTAAAAGTGAATTAACACTAACAATTCCAAGAAATTAACACTCAAATTAAGGTATTATTATACCTGGGATGTACTCAGGGAGGGACAGCTGAGTACATCCCAGGGACAGGACAAAGGGGAGAACTCTGGTTCTCTTCAGGTAGAAGCTTTTGGCAGGATATCCTCTTGGAAAAAGGAGGAAGTCCCATGAAGGGTAGTGTTTGGTGGGAGAGGCTGCAGTGCTGAATCTCCTGGCAGTCAGCTAACACCTGGCTCTTTTATTCTTTGGTCTTAGAATTTTGCTCTTGGCAAAGGCGATGAAGAAGTAATTTCAACACTCCACTATTTTTCCAAAGTGGTGGATGAGGTAAGATAGCAACATGGGAAATTTGTATTTGATTCTTTCTTGAACTTCTTTTTTCTTTATGCTGACCTACTTGCCATTTTTATATATCTGAGAAGATATCTCAGCTTGTTGATCTCCCAACGTTCATTTCATAAGAGAGGATGCCCACTGTTACGTTTATTTCTGGTTTGAGGGGAAAGGCTTTGATAAAAATGCAGAATAGACCAAAAGAAAGATTTCTGAGAATTCAGTTCCCTAAGGAGAGTATGTTGGTTTCTCGGGACTGCCATGAGAAATTACTATAGCTAAGTGGCTTCATACCATAGAAATGTATTCTCTCACAGTTCTGGAGGTCAGAAGACTGAAATCGTACACTCCTTCTGAAGTCTCTGTGGGCGGGGGGGCTCCCTTGACTTTACCCGTTTTTGGTGGCTCCAGGTGTCTTCTGGCTATAGCAGCATAACTCTATGCCTAACTCTGACTTTACATCCTCATTCCATGTTTTTCCTCTTCTGGGTCTCTTCTGGAAAAAGCACCTGTCTTGGTTTTAGGGCCCACCTGGGTTGTCCAGGATGATCTCATCCCAAGATCCTTCATTACATCTATAAAGACACTTTTTCCAAATAGTCACGTGTTTTGGGTCACGTATCTTTTGGAGAAGGGGCACAGTTCAGTCTACAAAGGGTTTCATACAGCTGTTCTTGTAGCTGTGTTGTGTGATACATCTGGGATATTTGTAAATTAAAAAAAGGTATCTTTAGGAAAAGTGCATAAATTCTAATTGTAAAAAACATAAAAACACAGATGCTTTGATGCTGGGCAGAATTTTGCAAAACTAGGTAGATATAAACAGTTCAATCTTTTAAGGAGTTTGCAATGCTTAAAATATTAAAAAGTAAGCAAAAAGAATGCCATTTAACTGTCTAATTATTAATCTGCAACAGATGCTATCTTTGGTTTACAAAATGTGAAACAGACCGGGAACAGTGGCTCACACCTATAATCCCAGTGCTTTGGGAGGCTGTGGCGAGAGAATTGCTGGAGGCCAGGAATTTGAGACCAGCTTGGGCAACATAATGAGACCCTGTATCTACAAAAAATTTAAAACTTATCTGGGCATGGTGGCATGTGCCTGTAGTTCCAGCTCCTCAGGATGCTGAGGCAAGAAGCGTGCTTGAGCCTAGGAGTTCAAGGCTGCAGTGTTGCCCAGGCATCGCATGCCATTGCACTCCAGTCTGCGCGACAGAGTGAGATCCTGTCTTAAAAAAAAAAAAAAAAGAGGCCGGGCTCGGTGGCTCAGCCTGTAATCCCAGCACTTTGGGAGGCCAAGGTGAGTGGATTGCCTGAGCCCACGGGTTCGAGACCCACCTGGGCAACTTGGAGAGACCTCATCTCAACAATAAAATCAAAAATTAGCTGGGCGTGGTAGCATGCTCCTGTAGTTCCAGCTACTTGAAGGCTGAGGCGGAAGGATCGCCAGAGCCCAGCGGGTCGAGGCTGCGGTGGCCGGGAGTGGCCACTGCACTCCAGTCTGGGCGACAGAGTGAGACTCCAACTCAAAAAAAAAAGGAGAAACTAGCATTCATATAAGACAGTACTGATTGCATTTTCATTCATTCAGCAGATCAGTTCAGCAAGCATTTATTGACCACCTACTGTTTAGCTGATGCTGTTCTAGGCACTGGAGATACAAAAGCGAACAAGTCATTTGGTTCTTTTTTTTTTTTTTTTT